GCACTTTTACTGACTCGTGCATCGCAAGATAAAAAAAAAAATGAGGGAAGCAGAGTGCAACACCTCAACGCCATGATCCAATATAGTTGTGCCACGTGTGACAGGCGGCTGCGCAGAGCCTTAAGCCTAATGAGTCGCTCGACAACAATCGGCATGCACCCAGTCTAGGCGCAGAAGAGGCAACCGCAAGGAGACATCCACTCTGCAAGCTGGCCCTATCGCTCGCCGCACACAGCAGCTAACCGAGCGATCGGCGTCCACCGCCAGGACGGTGTAATGAAGCCCCGGCGTCGAGCCGCAATACCAGACAGCAACGACGCCGGACTCTCTGAGTCAAAAGAGATAGAACCTTTTTACAGAAAATCAGACCACCCACGAACCCACGAGGCTTCCGTACTCACTCCCTTTAAGGTTGGCCTACAATCCACGTACTCTAAGCTTGCTCACCCCAGGATGCAGACCGCATGGCTCTCGTCCTCAACTGAAGAACGTTTTTGAAAACTAACAACAACAAAAAATACTTGCGAGCAGAAAAAAAAAACTTAATCTGCCGACAAGTTGAAACATGACACAACAGCCGATCTCCTCGCCCTCAACAAAGCACAATGCCGACGCTAGCAACGGAAGTCCCCCTAGGGCTACTCTTACCCAGCTCAGACAAAAGGCTGAACAGAACCGCAAGAACTGTCGTCAAATACTCCAAGAACCCCACATTGGGCACCAGTGTTGAGTCTCGAAGTGAAGAATTCCAGGTTCTTGGAGTTAACGGACATAGTACACGCGGTCAGAACGAACCAAACAACACTCATTTATTAACTACTTTTAGAATGACGATATCAACAGCCGAATTATTATATCAATTGTGGTCAACCCACTAACACAGCCTTACACAAAATTACATGACATTCAACAACATAACAAACACAAGAACACACTCAAGGCAGCTTCGCCAATGCTAGATTCATACCCTTGTCACACGTGGCAACTTAAGTGCACCTTGAGCGATTGTTATTATGCTCACAAAGTGTCATTTTAGCGGTTCCCTGCTGCACGAGAAAGCAAAGTGTACTTTGCAAATGATGGCAGTGGCGATCGACGGATTTCACAACGTATATTTGTTATTTTTGCGCCTGTGTCTCATCGTCGAACTACGTTGTCTTCGTGGAAGTAGCACTTGTGGCACATGCCATCTTAAATGACTAGAGAACAACTCACCTACGCATGTGCAAGTATACCTGGAAGTAAATAACAAACAACACGACGGACGCAGCCATTGTTGTGCATGTGCTACCGCATCGCCCTATCGGACGTGGCCGCAAACAGCCCGACGGCGAAAGTAGCAAGGTTATTGTTGTATTTTATGACTTTTTTTATACATAACAGTATACATCATATCAAAAACATTGGTTTAAATATAGCATGAGCGCCGCTTTAGGCAGCAGCGTCTTTCTGTACAAGCCACTGGTACTGAGGTTACATATTTTATCGCAGCTGTCACAATGAAGTGAGGTTGGGGAACGCACTTGACGGCAAGTGTACTTTGCAGCAAGTGACACTAAACTTGCTCGTGTGACAGTGCGCAAATGACACTCGCAGCTAAGTGTACTCGCTCAAAGTGCACTTAAGTTGCTACGTGTGACAGGGGATCACTACAAGGGCCCATGGCAAACGGCCCGCGGTGCCGCCTACCGCAGGCCCACCACTAGAGACGACCGTTCGCACCAACTGCCACCCGCCAAAAAGGCCCACTCATCTCTCCCATGCCGCCACCAAGGTTTGTTGCCAGGCGTCACTGCCGGCGACACCGTTCTAACCATGATGATGATGATGGTGGTGATAACAAACGCTCATGAGCACAACACCACCTATTGCTCGGTAGTTGTGAACTTGAAATGCGGCCTATGTGCGAAACACGTGTGCCACTAGGTGCAAACTACTTTACAGGGGCAGTTGGCACCTTCACAAATTACTAAAACGTAATGATTTAGGCTTTCTTTCTCTATTTCCCATACCGTGGCCAGGTGCTACTATGCTGAAGACAGGCACTGCATGTTCAGAGGGGTGCACGGTTGGCTTTCTTGTTGGAACATACCTTAAATTTTAATAGACTGATTTGTAAACAAAAGACGTTAAGTGTTCTGCTCCTTGTGTCCTCCTTTTTTATTCTACTCCGTATTGAAACTGAGCCCATGCTGGAAATCACTTCTCTTGTTATAATATCTTCGGTGAATCGCTCTTGATTGCCCCGCCGCGGTGGTCTAGTGGCTAAGGTACTCGGCTGCTGACATGCAGGTCGCGGGTTCGAATCCCGGCTGCGGCGGCCGCATTTCCGATGGAGGCGGAAATGTTGTAGGCCCGTGTGCTCAGATTTTGGTGCACGTTAAAGAACCCCAGGCAGTCAAAATTTCCGGAGCCCTCCACTACGGCGTCTCTCATAATCATATGTGGTTTTGGGACGTTAAACCCTACATATCAACCAATGAATCGCTCTTGATTATCTCTCGGGTTGATGTTTCGGCACCCAGAACGGGAGCCTTGTTCACATTCCCACAATGTCAACACATTTTTTATTCTCTTGTAGTCGATGTCCTTGTCTGTTTATGCAATGATTCTTTTCGACCAGCCGGGTGTCTGTAGAAGCCTTGATTGCCTCTCTATAGTATTTGCAAAAAAAGTAGGCACAGTGCATCACTGCCTAGCCAACAATAATTGTATTTTGTATATCAGCTAAGCTGTTTTCACCGTGAGCCCCCCTTTTTTTTTACGAGAAATTGCCATATGTTAAAGTACATGCAGTTGTTAGTGAAGCACCCACCACCAAAGCACAGATATTTGCCATTTAAAACACGTTGTTGACGATTTTGTGTTTAGGCAACAGTACCAAGATTAGTGACTTGGGCCTATGCCAGGCTTGATCTGCAATCAGGCCTGGCCGAGACGGGTAGATGAATCTCTTTTTTTTTTTTTTCGGGTACAGGCCGGGCCTGGGTCTCGCTTTCGATCTCTGGGCTAGGCTCAGGCAGGTAAGTTTCAACAAGTTCCAGGCGCGGGCCAGACCTAGCCTGAAAATCGAGGCCCGTGCAATGCTCTACCAGGAAGCGCTTCTTTTACAGCGAGAGCTGTTATGATGAGATCACAACTCGGGTCATGCGCAGCTGTACGTCGCCGCCGGTGTCTTTAACCACATCGTGCGAACGAAATTATAAAAAAAAAAACCCAAGCCCCAAAGACACAGTGGGGCTCAAACCCGGGTCTGCTGAGTGCCAGCCAAGTATTCTACCACAGAGCTACGCTGGCGCTTGTGACTTGTTGGCAAACTTGCCTTAGGCAGGCTTGATGTCAAGAAAGCAATCGCGTTAATACGACTTGTGAAGCGTTTTAAAACAGCAAAAGAACAGCCAGTCATCGCACAATGCAAATAGCATAACGAGTGGGCCGTCCAATGCTCCGACCCATTACAAAAGCATGTTCTGGTTCCTCTATTAACTGTGGTGTATATCCACTTCAGTCATAATTTCCCATCGTTGTCAGCTACTGCATGAACAATTGGCACAAAGTTTCTTGCAAGTGTTTAGCGGATACCATACTTCTCAGAAGAATGACGAAAAATAGCATAGCGAATGCCGATGTACTACCCAAAAGTTTATTATTAATGCCCCAGTGTGTATCAAGCAAGTGTTCTTGCAGTAGTTACCCAGTGAGTGTTTTGAAAACGCTTTGAAAGGCTGCTCTTCTTGCTTTCGCTGTGACTGTGCTGCGCCTTCCGCGCAGGTCTGGCGTTTTTTTCTTTTGCTTTCTCCAGTTTGCCTGAATGAATGCCCAATGAACGCTACAATGTTTGTTGCACGAATCGCCAACATTGTTGGTCACTGCAAAAGTTCATTTTAACAGAAGAGACTTGTTTGGCGGTTCTTCTCAAATGGATATACAATTTTTTTTATTGATTCTATGGGAAACCAAACAAATGTTTCCCTGTTTGGCATGAGTTAGAATTCACGTAAACTGAGTTTGCCTTTACAATAGTTCACTGTGTTTGAATTCCTGTGGCATTTTGAAGAGCAGTGATGACCGGATTTTGTGGCGCTGTTCTGTCTTCTTTTGTTGTTCTTTTTTCTTCTTCCTTTTCTCAGTTGTGCCATAAATATTTTGCTTGACTGTTTACCAATTCGCCCAATCTCACGCTCTACTACCATCACGCTATCCTGATGGGGATATTCTTGGCAGATGAAGCGTAGTGCATTATTCGGTGTTCTTTCCAGTCTGCTTGCAAGGTACACCTGATAGGGGTTCCCAAGTTCAAGAATGGTATGCACCAGAGTTCTGCAAGTGCTTTCTTCCTGAGAAATGCACATGAATTACCTTTAGGCTTTGTGCTATGAAAGGGTGCTTCTCAATTTCTCTTTTTAAACCATTCTGCCACAATGCGGAATATTGAAGAAACGATTCGTAATATTTTGTGCCCATATGTACTGAGTTGATTAATATGCCTTCATACTGACACTTGCTAGAGCCCTGATTAGTGTAATAGGTGGAGCAGCTGCCCTGAAAATATCGGTTCTTGGTGTGATCCTGGTCCAGGGCAAATTTTTCATCCATTGAAAAGCTTTCTTACTGAGAAATCCATATGGATTGACTTGTGACTTTGTACTACGAATGACTGCTTCTCAATCTATTGTTCATAACCTTTCCACCACGTTGCAGGATTCTACAGAATTAATTTTCAACTATACAGGGCTAAGCTATGCTTTACTCTTGCCTCTCATTGTTGCCCTCCGTTTCGTTTTCACATCACTCTTCCCTACTCTTTCCCACCACATTATATGAGGCCAAGAGCTGCTTGGCTTGCTTCCTGTGGCACATACCTGTCTAGTTTTCTATCTACAACACTGGCCTTACTCTGTACTTCAATAGCTCTGCAATTAAAAAGCAGTGAATAGCATTGAAGCATAGCTTCCAATATGTGAACTGTGAATGGAACTTTCTCTTTTCCCTTTCTTTAGTGCTACAGTGGAAAATCACATGGACAGCCCGGAATCTAGTCTTCCTCCAGTAACTATTACCATTGCCAACAATGACATCGACTTCATCATCAGGTGAGTAGGCTAGCTAGTGGCTTGTTTTTTTAGTGGTCAATTTGCATGAATGTGTAGCGACATAGACGTGACAGTGGCTGACATGGCCGTGTAATTTTTCGCCACTTCATATGGAAGGCTTAATGGTGTGGTGGTGGCTGCAGCATCCGTACTGCCAGTAGTGTGAGCACGGTTTCTGATGGAGGTGCAGCACAATGGTTGGAAAATGACTATGATAATGCCGCTACAGATTACCCCTCCCACTCCTGCAGAAATGAATCTGAAATTAAGATTATGACGGTGTATATACAAGAGAGCTCATGACACGAAACAGAGGAGTCCATGGGCAGTCCAAGTCATCAATACAGAGAGGTTTATGATCTTTCTAGTGGGGAACACTGGAAATGGGCGAAAAGCTGGGCAAAAGCACAACTCTGTGGTTGTACCCAGGCGGGCACTGCAATGATGTGATGGGGCCTTTTCGGAGTGCACCTGGTGTTGCGAGTGAGCCCAGACACTGGAGATGCCTGCAGGTGGTACGGAGGGCAGATGTGCAAGGGCTGGTGCGGGCAATGTGTGCAAGACATTACAAAGTGGCACAGTGAAGTAGCAACAATCAACCATCGACGAGTAATCTCTGGAACTCTTGCAGGAGACGGAATTGAGAAAGAGACAAGTTGTAGGTAGCATAGCTAACACTTTTTTATTACACAAAGTAATAAACATTAATTGAACACTCAAACGTGACTCAAAAACGAAATATGCTACCCTAATTGGCTAGACAGTGAGACAGAACCGAAACTAACAACAATCCAACTCAAGTTCGTTTCTAGCCCTAAGCTGACTCTAGGCAAGATGGACTTTAGGGGGCTATTCTCATGCGATCGTGCAATAGTTGAACATTCTTAATGTTCATGATGCCATTCTGGAACTACGATGAAGTGTTATCGTCGCCGAAGTCTTTGAAGACGTCTTGCAGTTATTGTAGTCGGCACGCATCTGCTTGACGATCTGCTCGTCTTTACTTGTGACCCGGAACCTATCAACAAGTCAATCCGGGGATTGCTAAGTGGCTTGCCACCATCCTGTAAAAAAGGTCAAGAGTCCCGGGAACTGCTGTTGTCCCACGAACTGCTGTTAGAAGGTGCCGCAGGTCCAGAAAGCATCTCCTGGTGTCTACCAAGATCGACAGCTGCTTTCTAGTGCCCGGAACGCCGCCACCTTCAGATCCGGGTTAACTGAGCCTTCGCCACGAGAGCGCCACTCTCTTCTTCAGCCTTTCTCGTTCGGCGCTCCACAGGACAATGCTACCTTATCTGCCGGGAGCTTTCTACCACAGTTCACGTTGCGCGCCATGGGCTTTCTTCCAATCTATCCCATTCGTGAATTTGGCGCATATTCGCACCATCGAGGCCTCGCACCATCACCGCATTCCAGCGTTTGCACACGCCTTGCACCCTTTTACGCATGACAGAATGATTTTTACGCATGACAGAATGATCTACAAATTTAAAGCACTTTTACTCGGCCTGTGTACCGCACCAGCGACGTTTCAGAGAATAATGGACGCTGTTCTCGCAGGATTGAAGTGGCAGTCATGCTTAGTGTATTTGGATGATGTCGTATTTTCCGCACCATTTGACCAACATCTAGAGCGACTGTGCACGATAGTGATAGTCTACCATCCGCTAGGCAGACTTCACAATCAAACCGGAAAAATGTCATTTAGCCTTTGAAGAGCTGCGATTCCTTGGGCATGTCATTAGTTCCGAAGGCGTTCGCCCAGATCCCGAAAAGACAGCGGCTGTCGTGAGGTTCCCGATGCCCACATACAAAAAGTTAGTACGCCGCTTTTTAGGTTTATGTGCTATAGGAGATTTGAGGAAAATTTTTCTACTATTGCTGAACCTTTTACATATCTAACAAGAGACGACGTGCCATTTATGTGGGCAAGGGAACAACAGAACGCCTTCGACGAGCTAAGGAAACATCTGCAAGCTTCTCCAATCCTCGCTTATTTTGATGAGGCAGCTGACACTGAAGTTCATACCTACGCAAGTAATGTCAGCCTCAGCACCATCCTAGTTCAGTGAAAAAATGGCCACGAGAAAGTGTTAGCCTATGCCAGCCACAAACTCTCGAAAGCTGAGGCGAACTACTCTGCAATAGAAAAAGAGTGTCTCGCTGTCATCTGGGCAATCAGTAAATTTTGACCCTACCTTTACGGCAGACTATTCAAAGCAGTCAGCGATCACCATTCCCTGTGCTGGCTGGCAAACCTGAAGGATCCGTCAGGCCGACTAGCAAGATGGAGCCTTAGGCTGCAAGAGTATATCACAGAGGAATACTATTTCGGCAGAAAACACAGCGATGCCGCCTGTCTTTCACGCGCACCAGTCAATGCAAATGTGTCAGAGGAAGAAGACTTCGCGTTTTTACGCATTGTCAACGCATCGAAAATCGCTCAACAGCGAGATGACCCGGATTCGCTGCTGCTTATGCAACGGCTGCAAGGATTCGATGTTCAAGTTCCGCGAATTTTCTTCCGAGGGCTCCCTCCGTTCTGCCTTCGAAGAAACCTCCTTTACAAAAAAAACTTCGAGCCCAAAGGCGAAAAGTTTTTACTTGTTATACCCACATCTGTGCGAGAAGAAATTTTGCACGCATGTCACGATGAACCGACATCTGGGCATATGGTGGTGAGCCGTACATTCCCCAGAATTAGGATGAGATATTACTGGCCTAAGTTGCTAGCATCAGTGCAGCACTACGTAAAAACTTGCTGGGCATGACAAAGGCGAAAAACTTCGTCCATAAAACCAGCAGGCCTACCGCAGCCAATAGACTCGCGAAATGCCCCGTTCCAACAAGTCCGGGTGGACCTGTTTAGGACGATTTCCGTCCTTGTCTACAGGAAAGAAATGAATAGTTGTCGCCACAGACTATTTGACCCGTTACGTTGAGACGGACTTTCTGTACCGTGCGACAGCTCTTGAAGTTGTGAAGTTCTTAGTCAACAACATAGTCCTCAGGCATGGTGCGCTCATTGTTGTTATTACAGATCGTGGAACAGCCTTTACTGCAGACCTAATGCAATGTCTGACGCGAATGACACGCACCAATCATAGAAAAACTACGGCTTACCACACTCAAACAAATGGCCTGACGGAATGCCTCAACAGAACTCTGACATGCTTTCAATAAATGTCGATGTCGAACATAAGTTCTGGGATGAAATATTGCCTTACATCACATTCGCATATAATACAGCAGTCCAAGAAACAATGAGAGTGGCACCATTTGACCTTGTATTCGGTCGGACACTAACCACACCACTGGATGCCATGCTACCACTAAATGAAGACAGCAGCAATCCACCTGACTTAGACGATTTCTTGCAAAAAGCCGAGGAAGCGCGACAGTTGGCAAGAGACACAATACGCCGCGAACAATGCATCGATCCTAACCTGTACAATAAGCACCGTAGTGAATCGCATCATCAGCCTGGAAACAAAGTATGGATATGGACCCCTGTGCGCCGCCATGGAATCTCTGAAAAGCTCCTTTACCGATACTTCGGCCCTTACGAGGTACTGCGTCACATAAGCGATGTCACTTACGAAGTTAAATTCGCTGGACATACGAGCCCAAGACGCCGCAGTGTCACAGAAGTGACACCTGTCGTCCACATGAAGCCCTATTATGAAAGATGTTCTGAAGACGAAGGCCGTCATGCAAGCATTCTTTCAGTGTCTGGCGCATCGGGACAATGCGTACGAGGAGGAAGACAATGCCGCAATATATTGGCCGCATTCAAATAGAGCGCCCTTCACCGTGCCGCACACAGACCGTGGCAGCACGAGCACCTGGCCAGGCCCAACTAGCACGCGTCACGCGCTCGGGGTTCTAGTGAGGAAAAGGAAGAGGTGTTCTCTGATTTCTTTGGTGTTCGATGTACTCGCAGATTTCTCACAGTTACCTTAGCTTGTGGGCACAGGTTCGCCCTAATAAATAAGTTTTATAAACCTCTGTGCTTGAGTATCGCTACAATATGTTTGGAAATAGCGGAGTTTAAAATCGCGCTGACAGGGCTGAAAGAAATTAATTGATGCCAAGTACGCACCCCCCTTTGCACGACACGCTAGGCCTGGCGACGGTGTGCCCCTATAGGTTATACAAAGTCTGTTAGAAAAGTGTCTGCCTTTTGGTAGAAGAAAAACTAACTGGCATACTTGGAGCGTTGGAAACCTAATCCACTCAAAGTAGTCCCCTTGGCACTCCACACAGTTCTCTCAGCAGTGCTGTCATTGTTGGAAGCCCTCTGAGAAAGCTTTTTTTGGAATGGAGTTTAGCTCAGCTGTCGTTGCAGCCATAAAGTCCTCCTTTGTCTGAAACCACTCTCCTTTCAATGTCCTTTTGAGTTTCAGAAACAACCAGAAGTCACAGGGGGTCATATGAGGAGAGTAAGGAGCCTGTTGAACTGGAGTCTGACTTTTCGCCAATGTAGTCTGAACCAAGTGTGATTAATGTGCAGGAGCGTTGTGATGGATGCACCAGTTTCCTCTTGACCGCAACTTGGGTCTCTTGCGCTGCAAGCATCACGTATGCGATGGAGGACATCCTTGTTGTTCGCTTTGGGGATTGTTTGACCCTGTGGTGCGTACTCGTGGCGTACCACTCCGCGAGAGTCAAAGAAAGCACTCAGCATAACTTTGACATTGCGCATTTGACGAGCCTTCTTTAGTCTTGTTGACGTGGAATGCTTCCACAGTGATGACTGGGATTTGGTTTTCAGTTCATACCCGTACACCCAAGACTCGTCACCAGTGATACTGGTGTTCATTAAGTTAGGGTCATTGCTTGTGAAATGCAGCATGACTTGTGAGGCTTCAACACAAAGTTGCTTTGCTCCACCGTGAGCAGTACCGGCACGAATTTCGCCGCATCTCTCTTTATGGCCGAATCTTTGGTCATATTGGAATGGACAGGAAAAGTGATGCCCACCTCTTCCGCTATTTCCCGGATAGTCACACGACAGTCCCGCATCACCACAGCGATCACTTAAGCAATGACCTGGTCATTTGGGCATGTTGATGGCTGACCGGAGCATGGCTCGCTCTCCATACATGCGCGGCCGTCTTTAAACTGGTTGTACCACTTCTTAATTTGTGTGCGGCTCATAGCCTCGTTACTGAAAGCCGTCTTATCTTCCGAATGGTTTTCACTTGGCTGTCGCCCAGGTCCTGGAAAAATTTATTGCACTAACGCTGCTCCAGTTGCTCGGTCATTTTTCTTGCAATGAGAAACTGACAAGAGCACTGCACATTATCTCATTAAAATGCCGCGGCCCAGCGATTGACGCTATTGGCAGGTGGGAAAAAATTCTTGCATGCGCACGAAGGTTCATGGTCAGCTGAACCAAGCTCGCTTGTTTCAAACCCATCAGGTGCTCTCAAAAAACAATAAGGTCGGACGCTTTTCTAACAGACCTAGTAAAAAATGTTTTCATGTGCTCGTTTAGTACTGTTTAGTACGTTTAGTATGTGCTCGTTTAATGTGCTCGTTTAGTACACTACTATGATTTTCACGCATTTACCCTCTTTTGCCAGTGTGATAATAATTCAGCTTTTGTCAAGTGAGCCGGCACTTGTATCGTGATGAAGCGTAATTGTATCCTCTCAGTGTTTTTGAATTTTCGCCCCACAGCGGTGGTCTAGTGGCTAAGGTACTCGGCTGCTGACCCGCAGGGCGCGGGTTCTAATCCCGGCTGCGGCGGCTGCATTTCCGATGGAGGCGGAAATGTTGTAGGCCCGTGTGCTCAGATTTGGGTGCACGTTAAAGAACCCCAGGTGGTCTAAATTTCCGGAGCCCTCCACTACGGCGTCTCTCATAATCAAATGGTGGTTTTGGGACGTTAAACCCCACATATCAATCAATTTTTGAATGTTCAGGTAATTCTTTGGAAAATCGGGTGCAAAAACAATGCAACACCACCTGCCACCCTTCGCTAATCAGGCCCACAATGAACTGAAATTCGCATGCCGAACCAACAAAACATTGGCCAATCGTCACACACGATCATTGCCTTGTGAACGGCAGACGATGTAGTGGTGCTTTCATTCCATCACTTTCGTAAATTTGACGTAACACACGCAATGTTGCCAATAATTGTTGGAAGACAGTTGCGAGAGTCTGGGCGATCTATAAAGTTTATTTGTAAAAACTCTGCGTATCTCTTCAGCCTGTAATTGGGGATGAATGGTGGAAATGTGCAAATGAACCTACCCAGTGAATTTCCTTGAGATCTATTGACCTCGAAAAATCCCTTAAGTTGGCCTTTAAATAGAATATACCGTATTTGCTCGTCTAAATGTTTTGCCAGCTTTACTAAAAAAATATATTTACTTCTATATTTTGCACTTCCTGACCCGCCCAAGCCAGCTCGCTGACATGCTCACAAAGTTTTGACCTTCAGGGTTCATGCAGGGTGTTCAAGATTTCTCAATTGGAGTTCGTTTTCATGGCCTTAAAATTGCTGGAATTGCCACAAATCTTTCGGAATGCTTGAATTTCTCTTTTTTTTTTTCAATAAACAATGTCAACATTTCAATGCGCATTATTTGTGATGCTGTAAATGTGGCTCGTGGCAAATGTAATGGGCCCATCATAGAAGACTTCAGAACATCAGTAGCTTCTGTGAGGAACCAACACCGTGAATTTTTAATGATGATAATATCTTGGGCCTCTAGTCTCAAAACCAAGATGTGATTATGAGAGACGCTCTGGTGGAAGGCTCAGGAAATTTTTGCCATCTGGTGTTCTTTAACTTGCACTGACATCCCACGTAGTACACGGACCTCCACCATTTCACCTCCATCGAAATGGAACCGGCATTGAACTCTCAACCTTTGGGTCAGCAGCTGAGCATCATGACCACTGCTCCACCTCTGCATTTTTGGAGAGACTGAAAAGCCAGGAGGAGGAGGATGAGAAACAGAAAAGAAAGTGTTGCATTGAGAAGGAAGTTGAAATGCTTGCAAAAAAAGAAGTTGCTGTTAAGAAAATAAGAGCTACAGCAGACTCATATGCAGAAAAGGCAGAGGCAACTAGCGACCTGATGTGAATTGTCAAGCCAAACAGCTTAATTAGACCAAGCAGCTGGAGATAGGAGCATTCACAGGGAAACTCTGGAAAAGCAACAAGGCATGGCATAATAACTGTTCTTCAGTTTTTTTCTATCTGAATAAAAGTTACCGTTTTGCATAATACTGAAAGTGATTATTTATGCAGCTGAAGGAAGCTATGATTGAAAGTTGTATAGAAAAAAAAAAATGTTATTGGAGCTACTTTTTGATGTCTTCTCCAGCATTGTTACTCTTTTTAGGCAAATTCAATTTATTTCGAGCCTTCAGCCTCCCCTGAAATATGTTAATTGGGTTTCTAGCAGACAGTGTGGTCCTTGGAAATTCACACATGTAGCCTTCAAAGTTCTTGACGACCCTTAAATTTTTTTCATATAAACGAGCATGAACCCTGGACCTTCGAATGCTGTGGAGTTGTGTGCAAGGTGCGAGGAGGCGAGTGTAGTCAGATGGGCTGTGTGTGCAAAGTCTCTCCTTCCGAGGATTTCCTTTGAACTAGATTATCATACCTGAACACCCAAGTTTGTTGGCGGGTCACCGGAACTGCTCGGGCATCTGCCTTCCTCTGTCTTCACATCTCTACTACCGTGAGATTGCACGCTTGCATCATGGCATGGATAACTTTCTGCATTAGATGCCCAAGTCATCAAACGTTTGGCAAAAAGACTCCAAAAGGTGCCATATTTCTTCTAATTTTGCCAAAAAAAGTCACCACTCTTGTTATGTATGACATGCTTAGTAATAAAAACTGCAAAATATCTACAGCCTCATAGAATGCAGTAGCATGAATTATATTGTCGTTTCTCATTGCCATTCGCATCAACCATTCCCCAGGCTTTCTGACTAGCCATGAGATTGGCTTTGTGGCTCATTGCAAGGGTTACCATTGGTTATGAATTGAATGTTCATGATATCGCTCCATCACTGTGCGCTCGTTTAAGAGGTGAAAATGTGGTAAACCATGGCTGAAAAGCGCAAAAGTGTGGTTTGTAGACAACTTTGCATCCTCATATATGAATCAAAAGGTTTCTTGAAAGTAACACGACAGAAATTTTGTGGAAAGCAATAATTAGTGACCTTTTGAGCATGAACTAATATCATACCAGGTGCCACTGACCAATTATTACAGTCACTTGTACACACGCCAATCCGATTTGTCTGAAGCATGAAATGGAAAGGTAGACATTGTATAGTATAGCAGTTGTCTTTTACTGCACACACTCACCGAGAACAGCGTAGAATTCCTGGGTAAATTTTTTTTATTCTACACACTCCACGTATCCACATCTGGGCCAAGTACGTCGATAAATTTAAGTAAATTGAAAGTGTCGTAGAAAATAGATATTAGTGCCATAGAAGACATACCATACCTTTAACACGCAGGATGACTTCTTGTTACACAAGAGTGTACGAAACAGTGTAACGGTGTACGAAAGGTAATCAAAAATCGCACGACCTCAGTGTTGCACATATCCATTGACATAAACCTGCTACGTATTTCATCACGACATCACAAGTTGTCAAAGCTTGTGAGGTTACTGTGAGATGATGAATTGATGTGTCGTCCCAATAGTGGTCTGACACTAGGTGAGAGGTATGGATTGATTGATTGATTGATATGTGGGGTTTAACGTCCCAAAACCACTCTATGATTATGAGAGACTCCGTAGTGGAGGGCTCCGGAAATTTAGACCACCTGGGGTTCTTTAACGTGCACCCAAATCTGAGCACACGGGCCTACAACATTTCCGCCTCCATCGGAAATGCAGCCGCCGCAGCCGGGATTCGAACCCGCGCCCTGCGGGTCAGCAGCCGAGTACCTTAGCCACTAGACCACTGCGGCGGGGCGAGAGGTATGGAAAGCTTCTCAGCTAGTGTAAGAATGACGCTCTCAGTGGGGATTTTCGGCTGTGTACGTGGTGTTGCCTAAAGGGGCTGTCACTTTTTTGGCAGACGTTTTTGACTCGCTCAAAAAGCTCGTACCAACTGTTGCAGCTATGGTAGAAAGAAATCTTAGCCATGTTTGTACCGCGCAATGTCACTTCGCTTTCAGCGGTGATAAGTGGGCTCTCTGCCACTTGCAGGATATCCGACCGAGGAGGTGGCATTCCCCACGACCATCTCGCCCAGATAATGCAGTACCACTTCTCGACGGCTGGCTCTTATGAGGGCCAGTATGACGGTGGTCTGCTGGCCACCATGATGAACAGCCCCACGGACGGGCCTGCTGGAGGACCTATGCACGGGTGCGTCTGGCACAAATACTGGGTCATTGCAGCAGCTCCAAAATGACATCATCTCACAGGCTCGCAAAGTGCATGTTATGGGGTGAAGCATATCGAAAATTTGAAGGAGCTACTCTGGCAGCATAGTGTGGGTCATTGCCCTTACAGATATGCGTCAGCAAGCTACAGATGCGTGATGGTGGCAAGAAGCAGGTGTGTTAGAGTGAGTTTAAGGCTATTACAGTCAAAACCTGCGATAACTAACTCTCGAGGGGATGAAATTCTCACTTCAATAAAATATTTTTGAAGCACCGGCAAAATCCTATAAGAGTCAATGCATTTCACTTCTCGGGGCAATGAAACATATTTTAACACAATAGCTTTAAACAGCTCGTTTCTCAGAAATTCCAGCGTCGGTGTCTGCGTTGTTGGTTGTGAAAGAAAAATCATATGGGTCTGACGTGGGTCCTGAAAAAAGAATTTTTATTATTTGTCTGAATTGAATTAAACTTCATACACTTATTCAGTTTCTTCTGTACATTCCAAATCTCTAAGTATATTTTTGATAGCTGCATTTGAACGGAAGGTAATAAATTTTCATTATACGCGGATATTTGGCAATTTCACCATGTCAAACACAAAAACAAAGTATATATATCCAGATTGCCAGAGAGCTGGTCAAGCCGATGATGCTAATTTCATTGTTTGGAACAAACTTCAAGTGTGAAATAAATGGATACACACATGAGTGAAAAATTTCTGCCACTCATTGTTTACAATCGTCATGAATTACAATTTGGGGAACAGGATATGAAGAAAATGAATAGCAACATTGGCCAGATCTATTTAATCCAAACACATTGATATCAAGCTTGCTATTGTAAGTCAATGAAAACATGTCAAATTCCCCGTAAGGCTATGTGTCTAAAAATGTGAAACTGAGAAAAATGCATTTGAAGTTTCAGTTTCCCATGTTTGATGTGGTATTGCAACATAACTGTATAAATGGCATCATCATGTCGCTTTGCCCTCCAGGAACAAGATAGTGCCATATATGTTACAACAATGTCACACAAACCATAAAAAATTTGCTGTATTGCCATTCATAGTCCTTGAATATAGTGCAAAAAATATAGCTGTGCATAAAAATTACATGCCTATGTAGTCTGTGCTGTCACTATTTGCAACCAGGTCAGAGTCACAAAAATAAAAAAAAAATGATAAAAAATAACATTGTGTGAATTCTCCCAATGACATGGGCTTGAATCTACACTTTACAGCTGACCAGAGCTGTAGGCAGTGTCCACTGTTGGCTTTTGCCTATTCACAAGCTTGTTTTTCATGGCATTCCTGGCTGCATGGTTTTTGTTGCATATATAAATGACCTTATTAATGAATCTTCAGTCACCTTCGGTGAAGCGAATCTCTCATCGCGCATGGCGTAGGCTATGCATTCCATCATGAGTTTCACGCTGAAGTCCTCTTTTCCTTGCTTTTTAGACACTGTCCCCGCAGTCTGCACTAATCATAATTCTGAGAAGGTAATTGAACACGCTCAAATGTACCATCAAGAATTCTGTTCCACTGTCACTGGAGTTCTCTTGTACCCAATCAATGCCGAGAATTTCAAATTTTCATTCCGCTTCCGACTTGACGCCAAGTGCTTTTTCATGTCGGCCACACTTTCTGCACGCTGGCTATTTTCTTCACCCGATAAGAAAATGTTATCAACGTGTTCATGCATAATAAAACTTGAGGCTTTGGCCACAAAATATACACACTACACGTGCCAAGTTGCGTTTTCGTACACAAACCACCAACCGACAATCCTTGCCGTGTTCCGCAGCAGCACTCGAGGCATATCACTGAACGAGGTGCACGGGCTCGATGTAGTGGACTGCGGCAGTATATTTGATGCATCAGCAGGCAATTCCGCGTTATGATGATTTATGTGCTGGCATTCGGGGTGTTCACACTAGATGCAGCTGCATGTTCAGTTCGTCAAGCTTCTATTGCGGGACATGCCTCGCCAAATTTTATCAGATGGTCGCCGTCGTTTCTTGTCGAATACGCGGCGTGTAGTTTTCTTTAGATGAATGTCATTGGACATTTGAGAGGCTCAATAATCGCAGTAGTTCAAGCATGGTAGCGAAGTTGCCAACCTGGAGAAGTCGCGGAGCACCTGAAAGCCCAAGCCGAGCGAGTGTACGCTCGCACGCATGACTGGGCAAAAAAAAAAAAAAAAAGCAGAACAAACATAACAAGCCAATAGGAGGCGAGCGCGTGCTTTGACTAATCACGTGTGGGCAAGGGACCTTTGAATAAGAAGTGGTAGCATCACTCTCGCTGAACCGGCGCCATTTTGAAAATAGGGAAAAGATGCACAAAGAAAGCAGCTTCAGAACAACACCAAGACGGCGGCGCCCAGTCACCGTATTCAGAAGTTACGAGCGCGCGAACTTCAAACTTATTTAGCCAGATTTCGGTCATTCTATCTCCACTTAGACATGTAAAATGCCGTTTTTTAAACATTTCTCGATCGAATACAGCTTACAAATTTTGCCAGGAGATGATTAAATGTGTGAACTTTGTGATACTGCACTTTTTCCAAAATTCACTTTTTTTGTGCGAGTTTTCACAATTTCAAGACTCACCTCTCTCCTTCTGCGTGGCTGAAAAAATTGAGAACAATGCAAATAAAATAAATAAAAAATACCAGATCAGAGTTTGGAACCATCCCCGGTCATTTGGGTCCGAGTGGGTATTGAATCCGGGCTGTTTGCGTGGCAAGCAAATGTTCTACCACTAGGCTGCACGTCTGCTAGTGAATACATTGAAAATAACTATCACCCTATATCACTAACCTCTATTAGTTGCAAATTGCTGAAGACATAATCTACACTAACATAATGGCGTATCTCAGTTGAAATAATTTACTCATAAATAATCAGCATGGCTTCCGACCCAAACTCTCATGTCAAACGCAGCTCTACGAATTCGTAACAGACATTCACACCTCACTGCACTTGTCCTGTTTTGTTGACGGAATATTCATTGATTTTTCTAAGACCTTTGACTGCGTACCTCACAAACGACTAATTATAAAGATAGGTAATCTTGAACTCAACAGCAAAACAACACGATGGCCTGAGGAACTTTTAAAGGATCGTTCCCAGTTGGTTAAATTAAAGGATAACATATCCAGTCCAACACTTGTCAAGTCTGGTGTCCCTAAAGGTACAGTAATAGAGCCGCTTTTATTTTTGATTCATAATAATGGCATAGCTATAAATTTTAATCTATTCAATTAAATATTAATACGTTAACTGCATTTAAAAACTGCTCATATGCATTTGTGGTACACTTAAATTGTGCGTAATTATTGCTGCACTGCACTTGAGCAGCTGTCCCTATTGCTTACAATAAAAAAAAGTATGCTGGGGACAATGATGATGATCATGGTTGGCCCATCGGCACAGAATACTGCACGATCCCATTCAAAAGGGCACTTATAGTTAGTTGTACCACTACATATTTAAATACCAAAAGAATATGAAGCAACTATGTTAATATTTTAATAGGCTGACATGGAAATGCCTGCTTCTTACCATATTTACCCATATAATCATCGCACTTTTTTCTCAAACAACCGATGAAAAGTTGGGGGTTGTGAGAATTTCGACAAGCTGTGTCGAAACCTGAAAATCACATCGAAAGAAGCGCTGCTGAAGACGTCGCAACTTCTGCAGCCAGCTTGTTCTCTTTCAGTCTTATTCAGTCAATGTGACCAAGACAACCAGAGGCGCCAAGCATCAGACTTGAACCGATGACACGCAGCTCACACATTGCGGCCTCTACAGGCCGGATAGTGAGTCTAGGTGCAAGGTGCCAGCTCCGCAGCAACATTCTTAGGGCCAGCTCAACACCCACACTCCTACGTGTTAAAGCACAACTGGAAGCACGTGGTGCCAGCGATGGTACGTCTTGGTAAATGCAGGGCCAGCTCATTTGCAACTCCTGTGGCGACCCAGACCTAAACTACTCCTCTGACAATACCTGCAGAGAAACTGAGAGGACCTGAGGGTGACCAAGCAGCCCAAGACCTGCCTCAGCATAGCACCTCCACTGTGAAGGAACCTCGGGGTTCTACACCACACGTCTCGAAGTACAGCAGAAATATCTGCAGGCCCAAAATAATCAACTTATGAAACCAGGTGATGTTTGGGATCCACGCTGCGCGGTCGTTTCTATTTCTTCCGTGCGTACACACGTCTCAACAGTGGTGACCCGGATGAGGATTACCACCTTTTTTTCAAGCGATACGCTATGGAGACTTCCCCTGGTTCACCGACAAGCTCTGCCCGTCTACATCAGGCTTCAGCTATTTTGGACAGTGAACCCGCAGCTATGGTTCCTGAAAGTGGAGTCCCGATTCACCACTTGTCGTATTCCTGCTGAGCTAACAATGTACCACCACGTAGTCGCTAGCCTCCCACAGGCAATAGCGAGCAAAATACGCGTTCTGCTGATCACTCCACCTGCAGAGAACCCGTACATAACACTTAAGCAACTGCTCATCAGCCGCCTCATGCTATTAAAGCTTCAGCGGCTGCGGCAGCTACTGTGCACGACACCGAGCTCAGAGACCAGACGCCCAGCCAAATGTTGTGCCTTATGAGGCAGCTGTTGCATACGGCCGGCGCAACTACCACCGAAGCTGACAGGAGTGTTGCATCCCACGGGCCGTGCTAAGGCACGCCGAAGAACAGAGCTTACACCGGTCAGCAAGAGAGCAGAATGTCTTTTATTGTCAAGCCAGGCTCGCTTATATTTAGTATGAACGTAAGAAAGGAAGGGAAACGAGGGAGAGGAGCGGTGATAGCTGCCGCCGCGACAGAACGAAAGCTGTGCACGTAATCATGCGCGCCGCGCAATGGTGGCGTCGTCGCAGAATATGCAGCCCTTCTTTCTCCTTAAAAGTGGAACCGCTCCACCGGTCGGCGTGTTCTCGTAGAACGCCT